CATTCATGAATCACTCCACAATTCATTCTTTAATTCTTTATGATTGGTATTCGTAAGTATCAATCACGTGCGCATTCCAAATAACGTTGTTTCGTAGTTTCTATTACAACTAATACTTGTAAAGATTAGCCTGATCGATTAAAAAATGAATTTGGTGAATATTGCGAAACATCTCCATTTAACACAATTGGAATTTTGCTCTGAAGACTCACCAACAAGTGCTGATGAAACTTTTGCTTCACAACAATTATTCGAAATTTTAAAGACATTTGAAGATGGATACTTTCATGAACTATATACTTATCAAAGTCTCGATTTTCATGATGAATATGATGAAACTACGGATGAAGAAGACAGTGCTGATGAAGAAGAATTAACTGATGAAGAACAAAATATTGGTGACTATGATGAAAATGAATCATTGGAGATCCAGACTAATTTCACATTAGAAGAGATGGAAAAGATAGTGGAATGGGTTGTTCAACATCCAAATTATAAATTTGCATCTATTAAGAATAGATTTCGAAAAGTCAAATACATGCATTATATTACAAGATTTAGAGAATACATTAAGAAGAATGGCACAAGATTAGAAAAAGTAAAAAACATCAAAGAATTTATGTGAAATCAATTTTATGTGAAAAGAGCAACTGAAAAAGAAACAATTCATGATAGTGATCTAGAACTTTTGCAATTCAAAAGGCAAGAGAATTAAATTATTTGAGATCTAGTCTATTTATATTAATGCGATATATATATGTGTATTTTAGATGTTCATGACTGGGTCGAAAATCAAAGATATTTAATATCGAATTATTCTTCTCGTCAAATTCTAAACAGTGACCATTGTTCATTTCAACCAGAATATGTTTCTCCAAGAACTCTCTCTTTCACTGGCGAAAGAACAACCGAAGTTGCTGTTAAAAAGGTGAATAATATCACGCACTCTTATACCATGCAGTCAATTACATCAGCTGATGGTCAATTATTACACAAATTCTTCCTCATTCTTCAGGAAAAGGAAAATGAATTCGGTAAAAGAGTAGAAAAAGATTTAATTGTACCACCAAATGTCGTAGTACGGGCTTCAAAATCTGGAAAAAGCAACGATGAAAAACATCGCATTTTTTTAAATGCAGTTCTACGTGCTTTGGTTGATAGAAAATTCCTTATTTTCCTTGATTGTTGGACAACTCAAGCTGATCTAAAAAAATTTAGAGCATTATTTCCACATCAAGACAGTCAGTTATTAATTTTTCCGAAAGGTTCAACTGGTTATATTTAACCACAAGATCTATCCTTGTTTCGTTCCTGGCGATTTATCCATGAGAAAACTGAACATTATATTCATATCAATCGAATAGAAATGAATTTAAACAATCGTCAATATTCATAAATATGCATTCAATTATTCACAATCAATTATCTGCTCCACAATTTAAAAATCTTATCAAGTCTGGATTTGTGCAAGGTAAAATATTCAATGAAACAATTGGTCAAATCAACAAACCAAACGAGATTTGTTTTAAATTTTATGACTTTTATTGTTCAGTGACTGGTTGTGAGGAGCGAACCCTACTCATTTGCGCTTGGTGCCAAAAACACCTTTGCTATTATCATTTGATTGAAGACCTTCATCTTCATCTCTATTACATCTTTTGAAAATATTATTTTGTACTTTTCATTGATTTCTCGTAAAATAAAGTCAAGTATTATATTGATGAATGCTGGATTTATATGTGTAATGATCTTCGATGTTCTATTCAGTGCCGTTAAACTGCAGAAGTCGTATTTTAAGAAGACTATATATTGTTAGTAAGACTCACAAAGATTTCACAACACTCGCGTCTTAAAAAAATTTGATGCTTTTATAAAAAGGTTGATGTTACTAGATCATATATTATCATGCTTCTATACCCAAATAATGCATAACATAAAAATTGAATATCTCTGTCCAGGTATGCCATCAGCAACTTATATTATAAATCCGTTAGTTTCTCGATGAGAGTAATTATTCCACCCGAACAAGGCCAATCTTACTGCTCAACAGTTTCCGACCTTTCATTGTTAGATACCTTTGTCCAAAAGCAACCAAATCTGAATCTAAAGTAAACTTTACTATTGAGTAAATTTCGGAATCTTCGTTGCAAATGTCCCTTCGAACAAAGATATTTACTGTTTGCATTGAAACTCAATGACTGGAAAATGGTGAAAGCTGCTCAACGATGCCTTTTATAAAAAGCACGATGTAAACCAAAGAAACATTTTTTCTTTGATTATAACGAGTTCTCAATAATGTAAACCCTATAATGATTCACCTAGGATTTTGTTTTAAGAAAATTCTTTATCATTCAACTACAATTCAGTAAGTGGTACAGAATAGCAAGAACCATATCTGAAGACATACCTTCATTTTTCAGTAAAAGTTCAAAAAATAGTCAACCCGATCCCTCTTTCTAAGTTTCTTTGACTCAATTCACCTGAGAACTTCTTCGAGCAAAACGAGTAAAATCACGATTACGATTTTACAAGCTCCAACAGGCGCTAGAAACTGTATCCTGTAACCATGTAGCTGATTTCTTGAAATAGTGATTATTTCCATGCATTCTTCTTCAGCAGAAAAGCAACGAACGTAATTACATCATAAAACACCGCTCAGTTTAATTCATTGAGATGAATTACTACCTGTATCGCCTTGCATTTGATTAGATAATTATACGTGGGTCACTCTGAAAGTTTTCCAAGACTTGATTAACTTAAGACATATGTATGACTTTAGTAGTTGAAGTAGTAGATCCAAATCTTAGAAGAAAGTCCACAAAATTTTGGTTTTGAATACTTTCCCTTTCGTTTTGTGTAGATTAACTGATACACTACTGATACACTTTTTTGGTATTGCTATGAATCTCACAAGAGACCGAATTCGAGTTCTGATTTATTACGATTACAATAAAACAAATTGTCACAACAAGAATGCTTGGAATCTTTACAGAAAACATTTAATGATTCTTGTGTTTCACATACAACAGTTTACAGTTGGTATCCTGAATTTAATCGTGGCAGATATCACTTTGAAGATGAACTCCTGCTGGTCCACCAAGAAATGCAGTCACTCCAGGAAACATCGAAGCTGCTCGTCAACTGGTCAATACCGATCCACCTATATATACCAAGAGATAGAAGATACTCTCCAGATTGGATTGGCAGGAACTCAATCCATTTTCCATGATTATCTTGGTTTAAAAAAGGTCACATGCCGTTGGGTGCCTCATTTTTTGAGTGAAGCTCAAAACCAGCACTGTGTTGATTATTACCTGAAAATGCCCGAAAATTTCGATGGCAGAAGATCAAAATGTGTTTATGATATGATTACTGGTGATGAAAGCCGGTTTTACCACTATAATCTAGAAATGAGGCGTCAAAGTCAAATTTGGGTTGCGAGCAATAATCCTCATCTAAAGAAAGTTCGTAGACAACGTTCTGTTGGCAAACACATGTTTGCAATTTTCTTTATGAAAATTGGTTTTAACAGAATTATTTCTCTTGAAAACGGTATGATAGTCAAAGCTAAGTGGTATACAAATGAATGTCTTTCAAATGTTTTAAAACAAGTGGATAAACATCGACGCCTCAACGATCTCATTATTCATCATGATCAAGCATCAGCACACAAGGCGACACAAACAATGGAATATTTAGAAGCTCAACGTGTTAAGTTGATGGGTCATCCAGCATACTCACCGGGTTTGAGTCCCTGCGACTTCTTGCTCTTTCCAAAAATTAAAGAATTACTTCGTCGAAAAAATTTCCAAGACATTAATGAACTTTATGCAGCTATACAAGAACAAATGGACGGTCTTCGACAAGAAGATTTCTGCTAATGCTATGGACAGTGGTCCGAAAGAATGAATAAATGCATTAGTGCACAAGGACATTACTTTGGACAATTATAATAAAATTGTTTTAAACTGAGCTATCAGTGGTGAAAATCCGGAAATTTTCAGAGTGACCCACGTATTATCATGCAATTGTGTACATAAATAATCCACTGCGTTACAATGCATATAAAACTACATGCAGATATACACTCCACCTAATGTATTTCTGTTCATTTTATGTATCCTTGGATCAGATGATATTCATGCATTTGACAACTATTCACACATTACTAACGATTGATTTGTTTTCTAATATATCCTTCGAATGCCATTACAAATTTATTCGAATCTATTCGTATCAATTTCAACGTAGGCGCAAATCAGGCATCAAAATAGGTTCTTGTCTGTCCCACAAACAGTCTATCATTTCAAAACGCATATTCAAAAACTAATCACTGCGGCGCCTACGAAAGGTTATACAGCACTCTTAAAAACATTCTTATTCATGTGATAGAAAATAAACAAAAGTTGATTTTCAAAAACAAATGCTGACTAACTGGCTGGTTTTCACAACGAATGAAACTATATAAGTGTTACATAAGTGATTTGTTCAAGATAATGGGTTACTTTGTGTTTTCGCATTCAGAAGAAATAAAGATTTGGTAATTGGGTTAGTGATATTACTTAAATGAAGTATTAATTCTAACTCATACATAAGGAAATGCTACACGAAGAAAAAAATTCAGAATAAACTCGAAAAAGAAGCTTGATTGACGAAATATATCTATTGGTCTCATAGTAAATCTAGAACCATTGTCAATCATTATTCTAAGTTCCAAATGATCAGACACCACTAAGGTCTTCAGAGTATGAGTTTTTCAGAGTCTATAATCCGGTCTACAAAGTTTCCTAAACTTCATCCTGCTCTGTCTTGCTGTATTTCAATCTGATAATGAAAGTTTTCTTTTATAAAGTTAATTTATCCTATAAACAGCCTCTGCATAAATTAACTACGTGACGGACAGTAAGTGGTTCATAAATTTCTTGATGCAGAATCTGTTGGAATTGAGCACTTGCTTAGTTAGAGTACAAAACTCTGACAAAAATAACATATTCTCTAGAAAAATCTGCAAACTGGCTGTCTGTTTCCCTGTAGACAGTAGATAGTTTGGTAGAGCCTCTAATGGCATAGAAAAACATGCCGTTTTCACTGCATCCTTATAACTAACTCAACTATAAACCACAGTGATATGTTTAGCTCCTTCATTACGAACCTACTAAGTCTGAAACATACCTAGACGTATTCGAAGGAATCCTCAAGTTCAGAAAAGTTACGTCTATCAATAAAAACAAGAAATAAAATTCAGAACAATGCTAATGTCTACTCGAATGACATAGTTGAGGAACAAATTAAACTTTACTATAGTTGCTTAAAAAGAAATCTGTAGATAGCGTAATGTAGCTCAAAATTATTTGTATGATTCATTCAATTTTTTAAAGCATTACGATTGCGGCACCTCTACCACAGGTCACAAGGTGATGATTGCATCAGCCCACCACCTCTCCTGTACAAAACCGTATAACCATACGCTACTCTGTAACTTGTGCAAATTCTCTGACAGGCTAGATCGGATTATCAATATCCTACAGAGGTCTGTCTTCACACTTACAGCCGTAGAAACCAGACTGCATGCCGCATTCGCCGACAAAAACGGCTGATTTCAACTAGTCATCATTAAATGATTTCTTTCATTATTCTCAGTGTCAAACAGAATCACTCGAAAGCGAAACAACTAATGTATTAATGAATGAAAGCGGCATCCTTGAAATATATACTTTTACAAACAAATCGATCAAACTTGCAATTTCATAGATTTCTAAATTTCAAAGTATGTTCCTGAAATGTATTTGATCTGAAACATTTTCGAGCGTTCTCATTTACATTACTTCACCCCTAATCTATTCATCTGTTTTTCTCCCCACAAAGCGAGTCCTTCAAGATTGCAGTACTGGAGTTGATAACCAGCTACAATTCATTAAAAACTTGTCGATATGGAAAACAATTTAGTACTAAATGTAATAATGCATCCCAACTAATTGCCTTTTTTTGATGCACTATTCATTATTAGCGCACTATCTGAAAAATACATCGGATACGACTAAGACTGCGATAAATAATGCATCCTCTTTGACTATTTGATACTTTTTACAACATAACGGATAACAAAGATAAAATTCTGTTATTTATGCATGTTCAGCTACACAGGAGTCTCTTCATTAACATTTGCTCGTTCACGCAAAGATCTACTGCGTTCATCCAAGCGTCTATGGAGTTAAAGCAATCAGTTCTACCAGCTTCAGAAGAAAAAAGTGCATCTCGGTAAAATTACAGTGAACCAATTAATTTCATCTTTCCCTACCTCGACAAATCGTGCGTTCCGAAATTAAGGCAATTGCTCGACCAGGACTTGCGTTATCACCGAAAGTGTTTAATCCATCACGATTAGTTAGAGTTTCCAGCAAAATCATATCAACACATTAAAAACTGTTACTCCATTTTCGAAAAATTTGTTTCCTTTCGAGACCAACTCGTGGAACAGACACAAACAAACCTTCCCAGTGATGGAAGATCCAGAGGATAAAAACAATCACAGGGTACTTCACCTGCATTATGCCGATACCAAGAGTACGCATGCGAAATGCTTGCAGTAATCGAA